TTTTATTCATTCAATACTTTAGATGGATGGATGGATATTTGTTTGAAGGTGCGTCCAGAACTACTAAACGGATTTTGATGAAATTTGGCACGCATGTAGAACATAGTCTGGAAGAACACATAAGCTACTTATTTTGTTATTCGGACGGTGTCGTGGGCGACAGTTAGTATGCATACTATTCAAATATGTATTTGTGTGAGATAACAAAATTTTCGTTACTACAAATCTTTAAATGTAGCCGGAAAAATGTCAAAATATGAACAATCATTATCACGATTTTTATAATCAATAGAGTGATGCAATACTTTGATATTATTTATATAAATAATTAAAAAACAACTATGACTGTCCTAGAAATATATTAATTACATTTTGAGCTAGCTGTTGCCCGCGACTCCGTGCGCGAAATTAAAAAAAAAAACTTAATAAGTAGCCTATGTGTTCTTCCAGACTTCGTTCTATATCTGTACAAAATTTCATCAAGATCCGTTGAGCCGTTCGGGAGATGGCTTCAAGGAAACATCCATATAATATTAGTAAGATGTAAGATAAGATTACCTACTTTTCAAGGAAGGAAATCGATAACTATATAACTAAAAATAAGCAGTAATAAATAAATATAAAATTAGTGGCTTTATGCAGTATCGAAAAAATTTTTTTTTTATGCGAACACCATGTATAATCTGCGTTACTTATAATGAAAATACAATTTTAAAAATGTTCACCATCTGTCTGTCCGTTTTGTTCTGATTTTGACTGACTAATAGTGACTTTAAGAAGGTAGCTTATTATAGCTATCGAAGAGAAGTAAATATGACATTTTTTTAAAATACGCACTGACAAAGTCAACCGCTAGTAGATTATAAAACTGCTTTTAGTAAAAACCATATTAAATTGCGTGTTTCGCGTTAAGATAGCGAAAGGAATTTCCCACACGATGATTCTGCTTTTTACATCCAAATTATCTATTCATTGATAAATATAAAAATGAAGAGTTCAAATCGCGCCATTGACGAAAAAAAACGTCGATAGTCAACTTATCTTTTCATGAATGAATGTATGGAGACCACACGTTTTCTAATTTGGTTTCATGCGATAAGATACGTTAACAAGAGGTTAATTCCCAAAGCCATTTAAGAATGCTAAACGATATCCCTTTACTATGTCACAATGAGATTTTCAAACTTATTTCTCGTAGACCCATTCAAAATTTAATGTTTTTTTATACTACAAGGGGGCAAAAGTGACGAGAACACGAATCATCAACGCCCTTGGACATCCACAACACCAGAGGAACTGCAGAGGGCAACAGTACCTTTTGAGAAATAAAAACTCGATTCTTGAAAGAACCTAAGTCGTATTGATTTAGAAATAACGCCGAGGAAAGAAAGTTCCACAACGAAGCAAGCAGTAAACGGCCACCTGAATTTAGACGGGCATAGACATCGGCAATTGCAGATGCGTTGCCTTCTTATAATCAACGAAAGGGACACACAGAAACAAAACATTTCTACTTTCTATACTTTACTTATTCTGTCAAATGTTTTCCTCATAAAAAAAGGGGAAGGGACAGAAGACACAAATTAGACTTCCAGTACCACACCACTTCTTCATCACACCTATGTATGGTTTTATTGCAGTGTGCGAGTAGGCCCATTCATAAAGATATCGGTGCTGGCATTTACCACTGTTGTAATGATTCACAATCTCTTGAGAGTTGAGATAGCAAACATACACAATAGCCAGGATATTTGCATACCAATGGTTGTTTTTAATTCGCAAAAAGAAAACATAATCCATTGTTCAACATGGATGTTTAACATGGGAGACCGAACCTGAGGTTTAATAGTTCCATTCATAAACGGATGCTATATAAATTATCTTATGACAAATGTTATAGTATTACTTTATCAAATCCAAACAAGTACACATAACTAAAACATCTTCATCATCATCAGCTCACTTTACGTCCCCACCATGGGGCTCGGAGCTTGCCCTAAGTTAGGGGTGACTAGGCCATAGTCAACCACGCTGGCCAAGTGCGGGTTGGTTGACTTCACACATATCTTTGAATTTCTTCTCAGATATGTGCAGGTTGCATGATGTTTTCCTTCACCGTAAGAACTTCGGATAAATGTACATATGTAAGTCGGAAATCGAAAAACACATTGGTACATGGCGGGATTCGAACCCAGGACCAGCAGATGGCAAGTCAAGAGCTTGACTACTGAGCCACCGACGCTCAATCATAAAACATCTTACTAATATTATAATTGTGAATGTTTAGATGGATAGATCTTCTCTTAAAGGTATTTCCAAAATAGCTAAATGTTTCTCAATGAGATTTGACATACATATAGAACACAGTCTAGTACAACACATATGCTACTACTTATGTGCGAATAATAACATAAAATGAGTCTATTTCTTGCACACCAATGGCATAGACCGAGATTTAAGAATGCCATTTGATTAACTCAATACATCTATGCATACTTCCTAATTGGTTTCAATTACTCCTTACTGTAGAATATAACTTCTCTCTGACATAGTCTGTATATTGTGGTCGGCTTTGTCAAAGTGAATCAACACCATTGCAATATGAATTAACAAAGTAGCCACAGCAGTGAATATCTACAGTTGTAAACAGACAAGTGAATACATAATATGCGAGAAATCTTTATAACCGAGAAACATTCACCCATTACAATGCACAACCTCCAAAATCCATGTTCCATTTAATCTTACTAAATTATAAATGTGAATGTTTAGATGGACGGATATTTGTTTGAAGGTATTTCCAGAATGGCTGAATGGATCTTGCTGAAATGTGGCATAGAAGTTGAATATATTCAAAATTTTAATACCGGGCGGACGGAGTCATGGGCCACAGCTAGTTTGACATAGTTGTGATATGTCCCCTACTAACATTATCTTATCTCCTTCTAGTCTCATTGAATAAAAAGATAATTTTTTTTTATATCATGAGGTGGCAAACGAGCGAGCGGCCACCTGAAATCGCTGAAATAGCGAAGTGACCGTTGCCCATAGACTTAGGCAATTGCATAAGCGTTGCCTACCTTTAATTGACGGAGGAGAGGATGCACAGAAAGAAAATATTTTCCCTTTCCATGCATCCTCTCATCCGGAGAGTCCACTTCCACTTCCCATCCTTTCCTTGTAAGAAAAAGGGTGGGAAGGGAAAGAGGACTAAATAAGGACTCTGGGACGCACACTCATCAGACGAAATGCGGAATTGCTTCCACTTCACGCCTGTCTTTTGTGTGGTCATGGTATTTTACCGGACAAGCCGGGCCAATTCGTGCGAAGTAGTTAAAGTGGGCTCTACCACTGTTGTAATAAAATATTATGCCTTTAACAATAGTAAGAAAAACCTTCAGAATTCTAGATAATAGAATTTACATTAAACATAATCATTCATATGAGAAAATACTCAATTGAATGAATGGCAATGATGTGTGTGAACAATTGTTTAAAAAAAACTTTACCATGACCTTTGAGTACAATAAGAGTTTAAAGAACTTTAATTCATGTTTTTACTTTAATATTTACACTATTACGGTGAAGGAAAACATCGTGATGCAACCTGCACATATCTGAGAAGAAATTCAAAGATATGTGTGAAGTTGACCACCCCGTACTTGGCCAGCGTGGTTGACTATGGCCTAATCACCCTTAACTAAGGTAAGCTCCAAGCCCCTCGGTGGGGATGTATAGTGAGCTGATGATGATGACATTAACAATTGTGAATGATTTGAATATCATTATTTATTTATTTTGCTATCTAGCTGTGCCGGCTACTTCGTCCACAATAACACTGTCATTGGGTATCATTTCAACCCCTTACAACCCTTTTTTCACATTGAAAAGTAGCCTATGTTGTTTCCGAGAACTTCAATTTATTTTCCTGCAACTCAGTGCAGTGGCGCATTTTCATCCCATACTACTAATTGTTTTTTTTTATATTGAATAATCCAGTGCTTGACCACAAATCCACTTGATAGTAAGTGGTTATGACATTGAAGGATGGTGCACTCTAGCTTAGTAAATATCTATTCAACCTACACATTTCTCCTTTCTAACAAAGTCATTGACTCTTTATTTTAAAAAGAAAAGAATACCATACCCATACCATCAATCCTACTAATATTATAAATGTGAATGTTTAGATGTTTGAAGATATCTCCAGAATAGCTGCATGGATCTCGCTAAAATTTGGAATAGAACATATTCTGGAAGAACACATAGGCTACTAAGTGTTTATTAATTACAATGGGCAGGAGAATGACTAGGAAAATATACTTTTACAGACTTTCCTCTCTGTCCTTTATCTTATTTAAGTTTGATCTAAAAAATATAGGTATAGATGTCTTCCGGAACATTGTGTTATGTTACTTTCTCTTCAGTCATTCATTTTTATAAGTTATATATAGCTTTAAAGACAAAATTATTCATTTAAGTCTAAGTTCTAAGTCTAACTTTCATTGACACCCACATACTAAGACATCATATCTAGATTACTATCCGCCCACATACAAACAGTAATAAAATGTTTTCAATCAACTTCTATGACATTAAACAATATTATTTTAAAGGCCTTAATCTTATTGTTTTCTTTTACACTACAACTCTACACTAAGGAATTGATTAAATAAGCGTTTAATTATCCTGAGTGGCAGTTACCATTTAGGAGTAATTTTGCTTTCCACATTACAAGACATTACTGAATTTTATAAAGATTAGACTTTGATTTTTCCTTTGATTTCAGACATGCGGAATTAAAAAAAATTCTAGCAACAAATATAGCCTATGTTACTGTGATAATAAAGCTTTATAATGTTAAAGAATTTATGGAATCAGCCCAGTAGTCTTATGTTTATTTGTTACATGCAAAAATCTTTCCTCTCAATAATATAAGTATAGATGTGTCAAAAATAATGTCAAGAGTAATATAAAAATTTAAGATGATTAAAACTTACCTGTTACCAAAGTTCGTTCTCCAAAATTCTGCAGCATCACTCTTCGTAATACGGAACTGATCACCAGCAAATGTACCATTGGGGAACATCGCCTTTAACTCACTCAGCATATGACTGAAGACGAGGCTCAGCTTAGTCAAATTACGCCTATAGTGAGAATTCTCGTCAAACATTTTTTCTTTACCCTCTTTAAACAATTTTATAGCTTGCTTACATTTCCTTATCAAGTTTATAATAAACATATTAAAATGTTCGTTATTATTCAATTCTTGCATATTATCCTCGTATTTCGAGTAAATAATGCGCAACCGTTGATATGTATCCGGCAAAATATCAAGTATAAACGGCGGGCTGTTTTTCAAGTTCATTTTATGATGTTGACACAGTTTCACAACTTTATCCATTAATTTCCATGTCTTGTCTAGGGTCCTCTTGTCTGTTGCCAGCTTTGTTGGACATACCGCATCAGAAAAAGCACCGTGCAACTTTGAAAATATCGAGGATATATTTTTCTGTTGTGATTTGTGACGGGGGGCCGCCATATTGAAGAGTCCGATGACATACAAATGAAAATAACTATTTTTAACAACACACCGAACTTAATACACTTTCATCACTTAATAATTAGATAGTCCAACATGTGTTTTCTCATTATCACACTAACGAACCACATTTACGACACAAATATATTTCACTAAGCGGCGAACGATCGCTCACTGACACATCTCCGACGCGTATGACAATTATATTTGACAAATGTCAGAACTCCGCAAAGAGTTTTGAGGTTGTTTCAAGAACAGTGTTGCTATCACCTTTAAATAACCCACGTGTGTAGTATTTTTTACTTTAACGGTTTATTGTAAGAAAATGTATTATAAGTTAATTTGTTTATTAGATATTTCAAGCAATTGTGTCAATTTAGACATTAAAGATCGTTAAAACTTGTTGTAGGTCAACTAAGAAGATTAGCATAAGTTTTATATTATTTAACATTCTTAATAAAAGCTTATTCTCAATAAATCTGTATTCTTATTTCCATTCAATATATACTTAGGTACACCCTTGTATAATTAAAAGAAATTCTGTTATTTTACAGACAAATAACATAACTACAGTTTATTCAAAATGTTATATTGCTTGTTTTGAACGCATGCGTTACCAATATTAACAAGCGCCATCTGCTGTGCATAACTCAAACTAATAGAGTTAAATTTAATCTGTTGTGAGAATAGTTAACATTACAAACACTAGGTGGCGTCTAAATAAAAGTTTTCCATTTCGTTCCACAGTTTTATTTTCAAAATTAAAATTAAGATAACACGAGAACAGTAACAATTATTGGTTTGTTTAATTTAATAACATATTTGGTATTTAATTATAATGACTAATAAATAAACAATCAATAAATAAAGTATTTATTTGTACTAGATTTATTCTTCATCGTCATCGCCGGCTTCAGTTGTGGTCGTCGTCCTCTTTTTGTGTTTGCGACGCCTGCTGTGCCTTTTCCCCTTTTGATTCTTTCTAAACAAAAAATATATATATTTTATTTCTATTTAATCTGTATTGGATTCAAAACTTAACATGATATTTATAATTCATAATTCAAATTATTGGTGTAGTTATGTGAACTTTTTAATTTAGTTTAAGCCTCGCAGGATCAATTTCTTAATATTGGATTGGACCTGGATTGGCAAACGCTTTTTATATCACAAGTTCTTTACTTCACAAAAGATATACTCGGATTCATCTATATTTTTAGGATTTTTATGGCTATTTAAGAAGTCACTTAACATCACGTTTTAGCCGACTTCAAAAATTAAGGTTATAAATTGGTCTGTAAATTTTATATCTGTTATATTGTTTTAAAAGCGACAAATTCAAACTTACCTTTGGTTAATAAACAGTTAGGTACTGATTAGACATTTTAAAGACACAACATACTAGTAGGTTTACACTGACGAAATATCTGTACAAAAACGAGTGATGGTAACTTGCATCGGCAGTGAAAACGGTTGACATATTCGAATATACACAAAACAAATAAAACATTTAAAAGATAAACAGGAAAAAAAGATTTACAAATATTTATTACAAATAGAATTTAAAAAAAAACATTATACTTAAAAATGAAAGTTAGTTACTAATTAATGTAAAAATGATAAATACTTTTCAATCGGCATGCAAGGATTCTTTTCGTATGCGTTAAATTTCAATAATGCCCCTTTTACACCGATCAAAACATTATCAGCTGCGTCCATAGCAAAAGAATTAACTCCACTAACGCTGAATGAACCAAGTAATCTAGCACTGATGCTATCCGGATCTATAACATACAAATTACTGTTCTCGTCCATAGCGTATACTTCATCTGATCTACTTATAAAAATTCCTGTCATTTTATCATTTGGCAACCCTTTAATTTTAATCGGTATGCTATAACCTGTTTTCAAAACATATGACGTTTTTGTAGCGACAAAATAAATGTTATTTCTCGTGTCTATGGTCAATCCGTGTCCATTAGGTATAGCTGGAAATGATTCTTGCTTTTGTCCATCGCCTGTTATTTTATGAACTCTATTCTGAGGCCATGTTGCTACAAACATAGTTCCACCATCACTGGTTACAGCGACATACATCACATCCTCACCTAATGCTGTGTATAACTCGATGGAACCATCTTCTTTGTATTTATAAACTCCGTTATCGGTTGCTAGATATACGATGTCGTTTAGGTTGTCTATACAAGTTGATTGACCGAGTCCGGCGACTTTTATTATGTCAATTTCGCCACTTGGATGCAGAACTTGTAAACTCATTTTCATTTCATCGCTTATTAAGGTAAAATATACCTTACCAGTTTTCCAATGGACACTCATATCTGCGGGGACTCCGCTTACGTTTTTCTGACTGTCTAAAGCATAAAATAATTTATTGAAGTTTAGTAGATTGGAGCAAAGATGTTCTCTGTCATTTTTACGTATAAGCGTCTGTCTTGTTATTACAGGATTCCCTTCTGTTATAGTTATTGATATGAGAAGAAGAATTGCAAGTTTTTCCATCTGAAAAAGATTTTATAATATGTATTTTTTCTTGTAACAAACACCTAAATTAAGCGGAGATTTAAAGGAACGTCAAATTTCATACAAAGCGGCGATTGCGGTCTTCAATTTTTTAACTTCTTATGGTATTTGTTGGGTGATTTTAAGTATTGTCTTATTCGATTAAATAATCTTACTAATATTATAAATGCGAATGTTTAGATGGATGTTTGTTTGATTGTATCTCTACAGCGATTGAACAGATCGCGATGAAATTTGGCATACATATAGAACAAAGTCTGGAAGAACTTATAAGCTATTTATTATGTTTTTTTAATTCTGCACGGACGGAGTCTCTTGCGACTGCTGGTATTTCTAGCCTACTTCAAAAAGAATGAGGTTGTCAATTCGTCTGTATGTTTTTTTATGTGTGTTACCGCGTAACTCCGCTCCTGGTGCTCCGTTTTTGATTTTTTTTTTGATCGAAAGGTTTTGCTAGGACGTGGGTCCCATTTTTTTGTTAATTTTTAAACTGACTAGAAGTTTGTTGGACTTTTAGTTTAAATTGAAAATGCGCTACGAAAATTTAGGACTTTTTTTGCTTTTTGCTTACGTAGGCTAAACTATAGGACTTACGTAAAAATGATGTATGAACGATTTGTAGCTCTTTAAATTTGCTAAATAAAATCCGCGATAGCATATATTTATCTATAATAGTTTTTTCACAAGAATTATTTTATTCTGGATAAAACGTCAATACATTTTAATATAGACAATTGTATTTCTAATCATAATAAAACATCCATACGTTATTATAAAAATTATAAATAACTCTACAATATTATCTATAAACTTTCTATTGTATTTGTAACTAAAAAAAACTATTTTGTATGATTGTTTTACAAACAATATAACATATAAACCCGTGTATTTATACAATACTAGCTGTCTCCAATGATTACGTCCGTATGGTATTAAAAAGATATAATTAGTAGCCTATGTGTTCTTCCAGACTATGATCTACATCTATGCCAAATTTCAGCATGATCCATGCAGCTGTTCTGGAGATACATACCTTTAAACAAACATCCATCTATTTAAACATTAGCATCTATATTATAAATATAAAAGTAATGAGATTGAATGAGGATGGCTACAAGGGTAGGAGAAGACCAAAAAAGTATGGAATGACTGTGTGAAAGAGGATATGCGTAAGAAGGGGGTAGACTCAGATATGACGGCTGATAGAGATGTATGGACGAGTAGTACATACTGTGCCGACCCTCGATAGGAATAAGGGCAGGTTGATGATGATTATATATATAAAAGAAAGACGTGTTAGTTACACTATTTATAACTCAAGAACGGCTTTACCGATATGGCTGAAAATTGGTAAGGAAGTAGCTTAGAGCCAGGAGACGGACATATACTATTTTTGTTTTCAAATTTATGCCTCGAAGAGCTGCTTTTTATTTAACTTATGGGTGGATGGGTGTTTGAAGATATCTCTAGAACGGCTGAACGGATCTCGATTAAATTTGGCATACGTATAGAACATAATCTGAAAGAACACATAGGCTACACTAATTAAGTTTTCTTTAATATATGCACGCAGACGGAGTCGCGGGCGATAGCTAGTATGTTATAAATGAGCGATTTTAGTCTTTAATCCCGCATTCGAGATACCGAGGTTCTACTAATTTCTATGTCTTTGTTATGAGAATTAATATTTCCGTTTATCTACTTATTATCTTAATGTGGTCAAATGTCATTTAAATTATTGATCAAGTTATATTATAAGCAGAATATTAATAAATTTTACTTCTATTAGTAAATATATTTAAAAATAAACTAATTTCAAATCTAGTTGTCGCACGCAACTCCGTTCACGTGAATTAAAAAAAAACTTAACAAGTAGCGTATGTGGTCTTCCAGATAATATTCTATATGTGTGCCAAATTTCAACAAGATCCGTTGATCCATTACCGGAGATACCTTCTAACAAACATCCATCCATCATCAACATACCCTTATCCCTACGAATTGTTGGCACAGTATATACTCCTCCATACATCTCTAGCAGCCGTCATATCTGAATCTACCCCCTTCTTACGCATATCTTTCACACAATCCATACTTTCATTGGTCTTCCTTTTTTGAAGCCATCCACTTTGAATCCTGTATGATTTTTTTTTATGATCATCCATCTATCAATCTAAAATTTCGCATTTATAATATTAGCCAAATAACGATGTACTATTACAATGAAAAAGAGTAAACTATTCACTAGTGAAAACTTAGTAAATCAAAGTTAAAATAAAAACTTACCTTTAATTTCACAATGTATTCAAAACGTTTTTATCATCACAAAGTAACCGTTTCTGTTGCTCGCAACACGTCAACTATCGCGCTTTTATCAGTACCGGCCATATATATATTTGTTCGTCTGAATATTCAATATTGTTTGTTTATAATACGTCGCGTTCTAGTGACATTAATTTTATAAACAATACAACATGTTTACAATCTTTTCTCTCTACGTATTCGTTATTTATGTATATAAGAATTAACTCAATTATGTAAACTATAAATTGTTTAAACGTACACATTGTTATTTATTCCATTTGACACACTTTTTCTTTGTATTAAAATTTGTGTCTGTGACTTTATTCGCTCCATGACATCAACATCACATTCAACCTAAACTTGACCACTGCTGGACGTAGGCCTCCCCATAGATTGCCACAATGCCCGGTCCTGTGCCGCCCGCATCCAGTGCACTCCCGCAACCTTGACCAGGTCATCGGTCCATCGTGCGGGAGGCCTACCTACGCTGCGTTGACCCGTACGCGGCCGCCACTCAAGGACTTTTCGCTTTTATTTATTCGCTTATAAAAACATAATTAATAGCCTTTTTTATCGTGGGGAAATGCCTTTCGTATACCATCCTTGCAGGAACAAAGATGGTTATGTCGGGCTTGCACCAACTAAAACCCCACGGCGATCGCCACCGGCGCTAACAAGGGGGATAGGCGGGATCTCCGTTCGGAACAACCGCCACCTTCCAACGCCTAGCTGGGTCTTTTGGGTCCAGCTCCATCATAATCTTGCATAATAAATAGCCTATGTGTTACCAGACTATTCTATATGTATGACAAATTTCATCGAGATCTGTTCAGTAGTTCTGGAGATATCTTCAAATAAACGTCCATCTAAATATTTGCATTTATAATATTAGTAAGATACGGCTATAACGGAAGCAACTTTTGTGGGTTTTTTTTGGTTTTGTGTTTTTAATTATATTTATTGTTTTGAATTCTCTACTCGGTAATTATTATCGAATGCTGATTACGAAAGCACTTTGCTTGGTTTATTTAATTTCATTTATAGCTTTAACCGAATTTAAATTTCAGTCGACGTAAACTGAATTAATTGCAAGCTGCAACGATTTTACAATAATTGAATTTGCTTTTGCGGTTCCACTGATTTGAAAAAGGAATTCGGTATTTTTTTTTAAGTTTTCATAACCAATAACAGACAGTTTCTTTCTGTATAACCTTTGAAGATATCTGACAGGTTTTTTTTTTATTTAAATAAAAATAAAATATGATTAAAAAAAGCAAGAAATCGTAAATAATATTATTTTCTATCTACAATACTTTAGGAATTAAAATTACCACAAAATAATTGAGAATATAAAATAGCGAAATGCATTGTTTACATTATGCCAGTACAGCAAGACAGTAATGCTGTCCCGGCATGGATTATTTCAGCTCAATAGTATACCAACGCTGATTTTGACTGATACTGACTTACTATACTGGCATAATGTAAAGGAGTCATAAAGACATTCTAAATAAATAGATTCCAGCTTGATATCTTCACGCGTTTTTGAGTAAAAGGGTCTTGACAGACAGACGGACGGATCGAACGGACGTAGTGATCCTATAAGGGTTCCCTTTTTTTTCCTATGAGGTACGGAACCCTAAAAATAGAAATAATCGCTTGCACAAAGTACAAAGTTGCTCGCATATTTTTGTTAATTGTACCAATATAGTAATTATTTCGACTGTACTTTTCCCATCTCGGTGCTTACACGAATCAACAATTTGGTACACCTTAACAACCGGAGGCTGGACGCACGAAACCTCTCATTTTGTACAGTTGATTCGATTTTTTTGTATCCCTTTACTGTTTTCCAACTGCTTAAAATTATACGGGGAAAGGTCGGCACGAGAATATGGAGATGGCTTCTGTTTCTAGATTGACGTCGAACTTGTTTTTTTTAAAGAGTCAAACGAGCGTGAACACCGAGGTGATCACGGACATGGACATCCCTAACACCAGATGAACTGCAAATGCGCTTCCATTCGGGGGTTCCAGGGAATCACATAGTTGCCGAATGCCCAGCCATCTAGTCGGTAATTGTCGTCGTCTGATGAAGATGACGTCGTCTACTCTACGACAGGAATTTTTCCGAATAATTCTTCGACACTTGTTTTAGTACAAGGGTTAACGTGGCGGAATACTACGGTAATCTTATTAATATTAAAAATAAGTGATGTTTGGATGGATGGATGTTTGTAAGAATGTATCTCCAGTACCGCTGCAAAGACTTCGATGATATTTGCTATAGATGTAGAACACAATCTGGGAGAATGGATAGGCTACCTATGATTCAAAAACACAGTAAATACGGGATATAGCTGACATTCGTTTCGAAAATAATAAGTATAATAACAAAAAGATGGTTTAAAAATGTGAAAAAGCCATTTCCATATTAATATATCATCAGTTAGCCGAGTTTCGGCGCAGCATCCGGTGATTATGTCCATCTGTAGACGCATGATAGGTACTCAACTAATCAGGCTATTTGCGTTTTTTCTTTTAATGAATAACTATCCTTTATAAACATTATCTTGAATTTTATTTTAGTCTAGCTTTACAGCTAATTAAAAAAAGTAGATTTAAATATGTCTGGGTGGACCAGCTACTTTCCCGTCAAAGTCCCGAGAAAAATATCCAATGTATAATACTTTATATTATGTTAGTTATTTTTAGGGTTCCGTACATCGAAAAGAAACGAAACCCTTATAGGATCACTTTGTTGTCCGTCCGTCTGTCAAGACCCTTTGAATTTATAAAAAAAAACCTCTGAGCTAACACAATTAAAAGATACAGCAAATTTGCGACACTTGCAAGAAAATCATAACCTTTAGAGTAATTACTAATCTGTTGTACTAATTACTACTTGTAGTAATAAAAAATACTAAAATTTAGTAGAACTTACAAATACTGCTTACTAATTAATTAATAATGAAAATAATTAGCAAGGATTACCATATTCAAGTACGACCGATTGTCGTGATGGGTGAACTTTTCCTTATAGATGTATACTAACAGCTTTGAACGGAACCCTCCGGGCGCGACTCCAACTCGCAGTTGAAAAGTTTTTTTATTATATTATAAGGTGACAAACAAGCAAGCGATCACCTTGATTCGCTGATATAACAAAGCGACCACTACCCATAAACATCAGCAATTGCAGATGCGTTGCCTACGTTTAATCGACGGAGGAGAGGATAAAGAAGCACAGAAAAAGAGTGTTTCCTTCTCCTGTGCATCCTTACAAGGAAAGGAAAGGAATGAAGACTAAAATTGGACGGTATCATACTTATAAAACAAAGGGTGGAATTACTTCAACTTCACGCCTGTCTTCAATGTGGTCGTGGTATGGGCGAGCCGACCCATTTCTGTACGAGATGTTATGCTCTCTACCTTTGTCAAAAATTTGCAACTTCTGCCTACCCTTACCTTTAACAGGCTTGAGTATTTACTTATTTATTTATAAGCCGCTATTTCTAAGCAGTTGTATCGGTGATCACTTCATTTCCACGCACATCAAAAGTTACGACTACACTGGACTTTCCTATTAATATGTGTTCATAGTATACTGATATATATTTTTTTAAATATGATTTATGATACTATTAATATAATAAACTTACTAATATTATAAATGGGAATGTTTGGATGGATGTTTGTTTGATAGAAAGTAACTCCAGAACGGCTGGAATTTGGCATAGATGTAGAACTTAGTCTGGAAGAACACATAGAGTTAAAATTAAGTTTTTCTTTAATTCCACGTGGATCCAGGATTCTATATTACCGCGTGCGTTTGCTTACTTCTCGTCAAAATCGATCTAGTCGTTCCTGAGGTTATTTGGAACTAATGCGGCCTTACGGACACACAGTCAATTTTGTTTTATAATCGGTTCTTCGGTGAGCTACACAAATATATCATGTATACGAAATATTTTTTCAATATTACGTACAGGTTCACTAATTTTATTAATATTTATTGTTAGGAAGGAAATCCGGCAGTGTGCCGGTGTACTGGCGCAACATTAGTCTTATTAAAATGTCAACGTTTATGTCCCCTCACTAATCTGACACTTGACTTTGTAACGAAAGCGCGTCATTCGCGCCAAAGGATTCTAACTAATGTCTAAAAGTAAATATTATTTTCTTTATTGACGTTTGTAGCATAGTGTGAACATGGAATTGTGAATGACTACGGAAGTACGGGAGGCAGTTAAAAGTGGGGGTACAGGATCAAATATTGTTCCAATGCTCCCCCCTCCCGGACCTATATTGCCCTGTACTTATGTCACCGGTAAATCGTGTACGCTGTCACTTTATTTGTCGAGGGAAAAAACAAAAACACGATCGACTGCATGATAATTTGTAAAGGTGAAATTTTATAAGTAGTTTTATCTTATTTCAGGCTTGCCACAGAAAATAACAGTTAATTAAATTAGAGAGTCGGTGGCTCAGTGGTCAAGTACTTGACTTGCAATCTGCAGGTCCTGGGTTCGAATCCCGCCATGTACCAATGTGTTTTTCGATTTCCGATTAACATATGTACATTTATCCGACGTTCTTACGGTGTAGGAAAACATCGCGATGCAGCATGCACATATCTGAAAAGAAATTCAAAGATATGTGTGATGTCAACCAACCATCACTTGGCCAGCGTGGTTGACTATGGCCTAATCACCCTTAACTTAGAGTAGGCTCCGAGCCTCTCGTTGGGGACGTATAGTGAGCTGATGATGATGAATCAAATGTTACAATTACATGTCGAAATATTCGGAATATAACACGTATATAATATAACACGAGGAAAAAATTCGGTTAGACAAATTTGAAATTGACTGCTTTCACGATTTACCGGTGACAAGTATATTGTTCCCGCGGTGAGCCATATTCTTTATTTTACGACTTTACGTGTGCGGAATGACATGATAAAGTTGGAAGTAAAAATGCGTTATTTGCGATGGAACATGTCAGAACACGTTGGAACATTTTAACGTTCCCCGTGACGTCATTTCATGAATCTAATTAAAGGGC